TCTGTCTGTCTGTCTGTCTGTCTGTCTGTCTGTCTGTCTGTCTGTCTGTCTGTCTGTCTGTCTGTCTGTCTGTCTGTCTGTGTGTCCAAGTGCTTCTCTTGAACTTAATCTGAACACGAAGTAAAAGAACGGTATTTCCAGCCACCCACATAACAGCCATTGTGTTTGATGCCCTTGTTTTGGGCTGAAAAGATACTAACATCTTTTTCAAGTTTTACATACCACAATTTCAACTTCCAATGTCATGTGTATTTTTGTATCTTACAAACATATTGGTAACATATTTGCAAAGAATAACATTAGTATTTTACTGGTACAGAACCAAAATACAAGGGAATATTGCATATTGCTTTAATTTTTTATGTCTTTTTTCTGATTTCTTTATATTGCTTTAATTTTCTATGTGTCTTTTTCTGATTTCTAGGCTGTTATAGTGTTCAAGGCTTACCAGATGGAAGACATTGCGCCTGCATGGTCCGGCCTTATATACTATCTCATCGTGATATTTGTCCTTATGTGGGTTCCGCTCTGGTTTTTCTACTACTCGTGTAAGCGAGGACTCTGGGAGGTAAATTGACATTGATTTGTTCGCACATGAAGAGCATGTTGCTGAAAACATACACTTCTTAATTAAACATCCTTATTAATAGTTCTCCTGTAGGTGAATTCTACTTGCCACTTTACCACCTCTCCTCTCCTCCCTCCCATGCCATGTCAACGATGATAAAAGAATGTTCTGGCGTTAGATACGACCTGAAGGATTTGCATGACAGCAGCTGTGCAAGATGTAAGGCCAAGCTTTGTATAAAAAATAAACTCTTGGCTATTCAATGAAGAGTTAATGTTGGTGGGAGGTTGGCGGGTGCTCTGGTGTGGTTTGCTTCTTCTTTCCTATCAAATATCTATCGTCCTTATCTCCCGTCCTTCTTTTTTATGTCTGTTACTTTTTTGCAACACCTTTAAATCTTCTGGCGCTCATATGACCTTATGCAGTTGCGAGCGCCAAAAAAACTCTACTAAAACGAAACGAAGAATTAATGTTGTGTTTATCAATACAACTATAACAATATACTATGAAGCATAAAGTCAAGCACGAGAAGAAAGAGCGTGACCTAGAAATATTATGCCTTTGAGTCACCAAGGTTCGAAGTTGATTGTATTTCGATCTTTTATTAAAAAAACAAACAAAAAAACATTTTATGTAAACAAGCTAATCTACCCCTTACGACAATTATATGTCCTTATACTAGTCATTTTAAAAAGTTACCTGTCTATTATTCTGATCTTTGCGAATCCCCCCCCCCCACAACCCGCCTTGTTTCCCCAGATGATGAGACCAGAAAAGGAGTGGACCTCAAGAAGGCAGCTAGGCAATGGCGGAACAGGAGAAGCTGGACTCGATGAAAATGGACTGGCGATTGACAAGAAGCCCAACGGTGACTTTTCCGACAGAGGACACGACAACCAATCATTCCAAAAAGATACTTACACCAACGAAGGGGACTATACTAAAAACGGTATCGAAAATGCCACGAAGTTTTGAAGCTCCGAACAAAAAAAAACAAAAAAAGTGAAGCCCTACCGTGTGCATAATAAACACGTGTTACATGATGTACAGTAATTATGGACCTAGTTCTTATTGTACATTACCTACCCATCGTGCGAATGTTTTTCCCTGGTTACGAAAACAAAAGTGAAGAAGAGTCAGTAGTATTTGCATCCAAACAAAACACGTGATCTGATAATAATTCCGGCATTATTTTAAATTGTGTTCTTTAAAAAGAAAAGGCAACTGAACACCTTCATCTCTTTGTGAAAAGGGATAGAGTTCGGCCTTACTCTGAAGATTGTAAATTTATTTCGTCCTCTAAAATGCCTTCCGTAATCAATGACCACTGTCTGTTGTTAATAATAATTATATTTATACAATAGATTTCGTACATAGCGCTCCCCTTACAATAAAATAGGCTACACACAGTTTTCAATGATTCATACATGCACTGTGACATACATTCCTTTTACGTTCCGAAACATTTTGAACTGTCCTGGAAGCTTTTTAGTGCAAGCTGCTATTTTACAGGTGCCTATACACACACTAACAAACTGACACGATCTTTCGCTGGTTTTCCTGGGTATCCATTCTTATCAGAATGAAGTGAGGAGAATTGGTGTGAAGTACAGTGTCATTCGGTGATAACATATTTTCACATCGTCATTTTTGCTTCACTACTGAATTTGTTTTGCTTACTATTCGTAGATAGACACAGCACAGAGCATGCACGCTGTAACTTCTGCACAAATAACGCACAGTGTCCATAAACGTATCAAATACGTTCCAACAAGTTTTATGTGAAGTCATTTATGACCGAAATTGAGAGTTACTTAAGCTCCTTAGAATATTGCCTGGCAGCTGACAAAAATGATAATCGGGAGAGACCGCCAAAACATTTACAGTACAGGTTAAAGTATGAATCAAAATCATCTGATCAGGAGTTTCATATAGGTATACGTTCTAAAGAATATTTTCTTCTTACGTTCCCTATATTAATAGACACTTTTACTACACGCCGAGCCCCGTGTGTTGGATTGGAAGTTTTCACAAGTACATGTACCTGATCAAGTGTGTATTTGGACAGAGGCCACTTGCTAAGTCACAGCTTTTGAATGTTTAAGTCTAATGTTATTACTGATTACAGTAGTTCACATTTTAAAAAGTTGACATATAAACTTCAGCAGAAAGCTGGAATTTTGACAAGGCCCGCTGGATGAAACTTATTGCGGTCCGTGAATAGAAAAATACTTCAATCAATCTGTTAATGATTTTACAGTCTGAAAGGTGGTTGACCAGGACGACTAAAACTTTGTAACCGGAGTCATTGGAAAGCTTTAAGACTAGAACATAAAGTGCTATTTTTTAAAAATTATTGTAGTGGCCTCACTTGCTACAGTAGTTCTTTTCGAGGATTACTTAGACGTAGTTTTAAAAAAAAGGGGACAAAGAGCATCACAGTGTTTACAGCACCACTTCCAGGTTCACACTTCTCACCGGCGTCCGTGGGGCAGCGGTCAAGTGCTTCGATGTCGCTCCGCAGGAGATCCGAGTTCGATTCCCCAGTGGGTGGAACATTTTATCGAGTATCTTTGTCTTTCTGCTGGGATGTTGTTGTATCCCTCTCAGCTCGGGTTGGCTCTGACAGGCAGGGTCGAATCCCTCCTCCTAAATGATCTAAACTGTGTTGATGGGAGCATAATATATATAATGTATATATAATATATATGATACTTTTTTGCAAATCCTTATGATCCATTTAGTAATTGTTTCGTTGATGAATTCAGTGTCAAGTCTGACTTTCCTTCGGCATTGCACCCCAGACCTGCCCGGTAAAAACCTTCGAGTGCCATGCTCATTGCAAGACTACTTCAAAAAATGTTGAACCCAGCGCTCCCACTGTGGACTCTTTTTTTGTGTAATTGTTTAACCGCGCTCGCAACTGCATAAAGTCATATGAGCGTGCGGGACACGTTAAACATTTTCAATTAGTAGGAAATTTTGAATTTTGCCCGGGTGGCGGCCGAAGCCTACTCTTATCCATTTTAGACCACCAAGGGAACTTTAACGTGCGCTACTTGCACATGGGACCTCCGAGATTTTTCACCCTTGTCCGAGAAGGCTTAAGTGTAGACCTTTCCTACCAGAAGATCAAGGGTGTGGCTGAAAGACAGCAGTAAGAAGGGGTCAAAGAGTAGCAGTAGAAAGGCTGCAGAAAGAGTCAAGAGCCTAGAGGAAGGGGCAAAGGAGGTGATGGGTGGGGGCAGAAATTGGAGACGAAAGCAGACGATAGAACATTGCTAGAGAGTAGGAAAGGAGGTGAAAGGAGACAATTTTAGAAAATAAAATGTTTCGGTCGCTACCCGGATTCGAACCCGGGACCCTTGAATGAAAAGTGAACACCTTAACCTCTAGGTCACGAGAGCCCCCCAGGACTCTTTAGTTTCCTTGACTGTAATTAAGAAATAAAGTAGTCTGTAAAACACCTTGCAAGCGAGCTTGTTTAATTGAAAATTTACCTCAGACAAAGGTGAACCAAGCCCAACCTCCCCCCCCCCCTTTCTCTCTCTCTCTCTCCCCCCCCCACCTTCTCTCCTAAACACGTATTCAAAGTTGAGCCTTACGTTGCATACTCTTTCGGGGTACATTCGGCCAAATATCTCCCAGCAGGCAAACAATAAAAAAAATAAACTGATGAATGTGTATTGCTTGTGCCAGAACTGAGCGTCCCTTGTCTAAAACACCAGCATCCAGGAAATAATGAAGGAAGGAAAAGAACATTAAAAATCTGCTCTGCTTCCATCTTCACTCCCTACAACCCCTTTTGTTGATCAAGTCGTGTACATATTGGTTAGTTTCCTGGCAGGCATGCCATTTTGAAAATATTTTCATTAAAATTTGCAGACTGCTCTTCTTGATCAAAAGCATAATAATATTTTAGGTCATTTCTCAGATTTATCTAAAAGGCATTACTGGTATTAGATCTACCCTTTGTTCTTATACCCTGTTCTGGTAAATAAGGGGGTTGTATATAGATCGTAATTGCTCCGAACTGTATTATACTGTTATTATTTTGAATATTGTTATTATTGCTAATAATATTGGACTATTGTTATTATTGTTCTTATTTTGATCATTATCAATATCATTATTTTTGTTTTTGTTAGCGTTACGACGATATGATAATAATAATTATGATGACAATGACAATAATGATAATTGTTATCATTGTTATTTGTAAACTATGATTTTATTCATGTTTCATTTCCACTATTCGAGAATTGTCGGGTTCTGCTAACTATGTGATAAACAGAAGACAAATACATATACTAGACGTTTGAGTTTTTTTCTTTTGGGTCAATTACTTTCAGTTTCTTAAGATGTTTATTTTATACGAGAACAATAAACGCTATACTGTAGTGGGCCTACCTCGTTTGAGTGCTGTTGACAATATGTGACGACACGTTTTGGGCGCTTTCGCTTCTGTAGGGAACAAATCCACTTGATTTGACTTTGGCTGCTTATTTTTTTCCTACATGGTTTTCTTACTATTTCGTCAGACAGTTATAAATTTATTGATACCAAGTGTAAATATCATTTGTTAGAAAAGCTTCCCATGCAGTATACAAAAATGGTTATGCTATCCCATCTCTGTCGTCCCTACTATTCACGGAGAAATAAACTGGAGGTTACTTTAGGTGTGAACATTACAACCCCCCCACCCCCACACACACATATGTGAGAAAGGCAACAAATCAAGAGCTGAAACACACCAGAGTTTAGTGTTCAGAAAATCACAGTCTGATGTAACCTGAATACCAGTGCCTGTGGTGTAGCGGTAAGGCTCTTATATGTGGAGTCCCGAGTTCAATTCTCGAACGACGAGACATTTTTTCTCGAGTATATTATTATAAGTCTTTCTGCTGGAATATTACGTCTCTCTCAACCCGGGTTGGCCCTGATAGGCAAGGTTGGAAGCCCGTCAGCTGATTGATCTAAATCGTGTCGATGGGATTTCAAAGACACCTACACTTACAAAACAAAACCCCAAATGATCAGTTCGGAGTCTCGAGTGCTCTAAATCCCACTTGCGGGAGACTGGCGGGTGCTATGGAGTGGTTTGCTCCTTCTTTCCTACCAAACAACTATCGTCCTTATCCTTCCTCCTTTTCTGTGTTTTGTACTCTCTTGTAACACTTCAATTCTTCGGCACTTATATGACTATATTGTGTTGCAAGTGCCATAAAATTCTTACTAAAACATAAAATATAAATCCTACTTTCACCTCCCAATGGTGCACAGATGGCAACAGAAATCTTATTGTGAAAAATGTGGTATTTGTAAAGAATATAATCTAGCAATATCAAATAAATATCGATGAACGGAAGCTTTCAAAGCTAAGTGCTCAAATCAAGGGCAACGATTGCCGATTTTAATCCAATCAAGCTCAAAACAAGCGTGCTCGCTATTGACACATTCCATCTGTAAATTCATAACAATTTCCCCGAACACGCAAAGTACCGTCTTACAATAATAACAACGATTTATAAATTGATTTTACTACTGTGGCAATGATGGTAACCATATTATTCTTTAACTGAACACGACTCTTTTTTGTACACCTTGAACAGATTTTCTGAAAACTTTCAAACTGGCGAAGCGTAATTTTTCAAAAACTTTAAAGATCAAAACACTTTATATCAGGAGAAAAATGAGTCATTAATGGAAAATCGCCAGACAATATTTTTGTATTAGCACAAGGTATTCTTTCTTGTATCAAATAGCTATGCACAGTGCACACACCTTCCCCGGTTGTAGTATGATAACAGAAAAATAATGCGTTTGCCAGAATTGCCCGATAAAAAAGGAGCCAGAAAATTACCGTTTTCAAATTAAACAACCAGTAATTGTCACAACAGCCCAGACATAGACAAATCAAAGAGCAAAAAAAGTAGTTCATGTAACAAAATGTTACTCCCCCAAACCAATTAAAAATCCCACTTTTCACCCTACACCCCCCCCCCCCCTTTTTCTCCTCCAAATCATAAAGCTGAAAAAAGACGTTAAAATAACGGGAGAACGAGGGTAATACAATCCATCTTTCGTTCAGTTATCGCTAAAAAGAATTAAGAGGAACGTGTTTCCTTTTACACAATAAATCTTCTCCTCAAAGCCTTGAAAAAAGATAACTGCAAAAAGCGCGAGATCAGAATGGGAGAGGGAGGCATTTGAAATACTAGTTTTCTTTTAAACGAAAAAGAAATTAAGTATATCTATATCAATATAAATTAACTGAGGGGGGTCTGTTCATTAATTTTCTTCTTTGGCAGTATTGCAAACTCATTGAACCAGTGTCTGTGATGTAAGGGATATATAATCTTCTCCCTACACACACACACACACACACACACACACACACACACACACACACACACACA